AATGTTATTGCGAGCACCTCACGTGGATTGGTCCTGGAGGATCCATGAAGACCGTGAGATCCTACGAGTAAGTCTAGAAGATCGATAAATATTGTCTGGCTCATTCGAAACATATTACAAAAGCGCGTTGGGTGCCCCGCAAGCAACTCTCCAACCCATTTATCGCCAATATAAGAAGATGTCATGCATGGCGATCGATCAATGTACGTGTTATAGTATTCGTACATCAAACATATTGTCGTCAGAAACATCCCTCTTCGCTTTCTTCTCTGTGTATCCTTGTGGGTTTCCATCCGTCTTCTTCTATTTGCATCCATAGTGATGGGTATCCCTGAATATTTCCCCTAAAAAATTATCATTTATATGAGAGTTGAAGACAATTAAAAAAGTAATGTTTGCAAATAATTAGGAAGGTACAGTAGAGTTCACGAGCACAACTCTAGAAAAAAAATAGATAATGCAGTGTAAATGATAATCATTTGTTCAAACAATTGTAAAAACGTTTTCAAACGATAATGCAGTGTAAATGATAATCAATTGTTTAAAGGATATAAAAAAATAGAAAAACATAGATAATCCATCAGAAAAACATAGATAATTCATTGATAGAAAATAGAAAAAATATCAATTGTTCAAACGATTATAAAAACGCCGAATATATGCCACTCTGCGGGCGGCAGGCATCTGCACGAAGAAATCCCTACGGACCGGGTCTTCTAGCAATTCTGCTGCGAACAGATACAACTCTTCATCTGCATAAATTTCTTGTCGATCGCGCCTTCATGCTCGGAAGCGGCCTCCATGATTCTCCCAGTAAGCGGCCTCCATTATTTACCCAAAACCGAATCTCAATTATTCTTTGAGTAACCCTTAAATTGAAGTCTGTGGCTGTATCTTTAGGTTTCCATTATTCTCCCAATACCCCGATTTCCACAAGATATCGAAAGTTGTGGCTTTGAATGAAATAAAAATGAAAGTAAAATTATCGATGTATCAAATTCTTTTTTGTTTTGCATTTATCTAGTAAGTAATCTGGCATGTGGAAACAGAGATTGAAGTGTTTTTTTCCGTAAGAGCATCCTTTGCATTTCTTTTGATTAACATCAATTGTGCTTTTGAGTTTACAACTTGTATGCATTTTCATTTTCTTTTAGATTGATTTTGCTTGCTGGTTTACTAAAAATTAAGCAAGTAAAGAGGAAAGAAGATTTTATTTGATGTCGTTGCAGGAATTGAAAACATAATTGAGCAAGTATTCGGCATTTACATACTTAGCACAGAATTCTTATATTTTTACATGTATCACACCAAAATTTTCATATATAAACACACAACACTCAATTTATTAATATGACAAAAATAAGTAGCACTATTACTATTTTTTAAAAGTCAAATACACCTTTTCATTTATAAATTTAAAAAACCAAAGTGTTATATATGTAAATGCCTTATGTATCCTTGTTTTGGTTCCCTGTTATTTTCTGCTTCTGTTGTTTGCTGTTAATTGTTCTGTCAGCCCTGGTCTGGTTGCTATGTCATTTATTTCAGGAGTTGAATGAAATGCTTTCTCAAATATTGTTGCCATGTAAGAATATTCCTTTGTAATTTGCCATTCCGGCTGAATGATGGCTTTATTTTCTGATGCAGCAGTTTTCTTCTTGCACACAACATAGCACAACATAACTAAACAAAGCAGGTTTCTTCATTTTTAACTAAACAAAGCCCTACTCTTTCTTGCAACTGTGAAATGATGTATGTATTTATAATTTTATACTGTTTTTAATTGAACTGTTGTCTTAAAAGTATTAAATTTATGATAATCACAGTTCTGTTAAGCACAACATTACAAAACAGAGGAAGAATGGTAATTTCTGCAGAAACAGCTACCTCACAGCTGTTTTCACACAGCTGCCCCAAACAAACAGATAGTTTCCCCGCAGCAGCTTCCTGAGGCAGTGCAGCTGCAGCTTCTCAGCTGCGCAGTGGTATGTTGAAAATCCTATGATTGTTGTCTGGTCAGAGTTTATTAAAAAAAACTAAAAAATTGAAATATATTTTAACACACAATATATTCCAACGTAAAGCCAAAAAATAAAAAAAACTTAAAAAAAAAATAAAAGAACCCCAATCATTGATATTCTAAAAAGTCTAACTATCAAACAAAATAAACCAGCGAACATCCAACAAATTGAAGAAATTTCTTAGACCCCCCCACTGATATTAATCTTATAGACTCAATCATTAATAAAAGGAAAAAAAAAGAAAAAATAAAAATTAAATCATAAAAAAGGACATTAAAAAATGTCAAAATATTCCAAGAGAAACTGACAAAGGTGACCAATACACAAAAGTGACTTGGGAGTTGGGAATGTGGCCTAATTATGAATTCACTAATCATATAGTTCAACAAAGGATCTTCTATTAAAACAAAGGGTAACAATGTTGATATGACATAGCTATTATTGAATGAAATCAAGACATTATAAATTACGTGTTAGGAAAAAACAAACTAGAGAAAAGACATAATTAGAGAAGGTACAACTAGATAAATTCATTTTTTAAGTTCCATTAAGTGTCGAGCAATCCTTAAAATGAATGCCGCTAAATAACTTGTCTTACAGACTATAATAATAAACAACAATGATGGAAAACCCAAACTCCCTTATGTTTAGGCCAAAATGAATTAAGCAAGGAGAAAAAGCTCAACTTTATCTTTTCTCATAGTGGAAAAATATTTTAAATAAAGAAAATCAAAGTTCTTAGTAGTTGATATTTGGAAAAGAGATTTGAGTTAGAAAGCGAACATAATCCAAATTTAGTAATGAATCAACAATGATTTACCATTCAAGGAATGCAACCAAGTTTGTAAGTTGGCGAGGAGCCTACAAACTTTATGAATCAAGGGTTCTAAATTAACAATTAAAGGTCAGTTTGGGGCAGTTGCAGCTTATCCAGCTTATCTTGATAAGCCACTTATCATGATAATCTGGTGATAAGTAGCTGATCCAGATAATCTGTCTGTTTGTTTGGTTTGTACATTTAGGAACAGCTGATTTTGAATAAATGACTAAACTTCCCCTGTTCTGGATAAGATGCAGCTGTTTGGTTTGTGTGTTCCATAGACAGCTTATTTGAAATTTTTTTTACAATTTTTTAATAACATTCTTAAAGCAATCATGAAGGGGAGAATGGGAAGATTAAAGAACATGAAAATATTTCACTAAAATATTTCAGATCACGTAAAAAATGCAGAATTACCTAAACATATGTGAAATACACCGTAACCCACTAGTATGTACTATAATGAGACCCAACAAAGAAGAAAAAATAACATGTCAAAATTACAAGGAAAAAAATAATGATATTGACTTTAACATGTAACAACATATCACGGTCCATTGTGCGGGGCTCCGACACTCCAGAACCCATAACGAACCTGTCCGAGTGGGATACCGTAGAAATGGAACCACTCAAATCAGAAGCGGTGTTCTTAAATTTTGACACTGACAAACTCTGAGCAGCGGTGTCAAGTCGAGCGTCATAGAAACGGACGTAGTTTCGGCCGACCTAAAGAAAGTCAAGTCCTCTTGTCCTTGTGTCCACCGCGGGCACCTGTAAAATTGTCTCTCGTAGCTATGTGGCCGGCGTGATGTGAGTAGGCAATAACTCTCTTCTTTGTTCTTAGCCATAATGAGACTATTAAGAAAATGATTCAATTCTTTAGGAATGCTTACAAATATCAGGCAATACTGAGCAACAATGTATAAAGTAGAAAGACAGAATTTTAAAACAGGTAACATAGCATTAGTGAGCATTACCTAAGAAAACCGAATTGCCAAAAATGCTATCTCAAATAGGGTAACTAGAAGAATAACTTTTTTAGCTTAAATTTTAAGC